ACTATGTTTAAGAAACAAAAGAAAAAGCTCGCTATGGAACATGGTTCAATGTAGTGGTGGAAGAGCTATAAGAGTACATGATGATCATAATAGAGAACCCTTGTTTTCTCTCTTATGAATAGCATGATTTGGAACTTACGGGGTATCGATGCCTTAGAAAAAAGAGATACATTAGATATTTAATTAGGTAGCATCGAGTTTCTTTCCTTGTAATTTTAAAATTGAAGCAATCAAGGGATCAAGTAGAAAGATTGGCTAAGTCCCTTCATTTCTCAAGTGCTCTACATGACAATCCAATCAACAAAGATATTTGGATTTTTTTAAAGGAAACACTCATGGTGGATGTCCTTTCTACATGTCCTCGGTCCATTATAATGAATATCGAAGACTTCTAAATTGATACGAAAATGGCTTTTTTGATAATATACGCTAACCATTAGAGGTTGGTTAGAAGATACTTATGAGATCATCTTCATGACCTTAATATCACTTCTCCTTAGGTCATTGAAGGAGATTTCAACTCCATAGTTAAAGTTTTAGAAAAAGTTAGAGGAACAAAACTAGGCTTGGATTTTATCTTTGATTTCAATTATGGAGTACAACTTCTAGGCATCCAAGATATTAGCTACTTTGGCGATAAATTTACTTGGTGCAATAACCAAGAGGGGAGAGTAAACATCTTGAAGAGATTGGATAGGGTTTTTTCTAATTTGGCTTTTCTTTCTTCCAAGAATCCAGTCGATCACTACCCTTTACTTCTTTCATTTATCTTTACTACTTATAAACCATCGAGATTCTCCTTTAAAAGGATGTGGACATCCCATGCCGGGTTCATCCCATTGATTTAAAGTAAATGGAATGTCTCATTTAGTAGCTCACCTTTTCTTAACATTCACTTAAAGTTGAAAGCCTTGAGGGAGGATTTGAAAGAATAAAACTAGAGGGTTTTTGGGGATATAAATAGAAAACTCAACGAGGCTAGAGATAAGATGATATAGATGGACTATTTGTTATAAAAAAAGATGGAGCTTAGGTAATTATATAAATAGTCTAGTTACCATAAAGCATTTATCTAAATTGGTTGATTAGAATGAGATTTGTTTTTAGGAAAAAGCCGAATTAAATGGTTATTAGTAAGTGACCATAAAATAGATTTCTTCCATACTCGTATTCATAGCCAATCAGCCAAAGCTAAGTTCTAACTATCCTTTGAAGATGGCTCCATCCGCACCGATGATACTCAAATAAGTAATGCAACCGTTGATAGTAGCTTTTCACCGGTGCTCTAACTATAATGGATGACTCTTTTCCGGATGTAATGCCTCACTTGGTAACAAATAAACAAAAGTTAGACCTTATGGCCATTTCCATAATTGATGAGATTAAAGCGAGTTATCTTTAATTTCGAAGAACTCAATGCTCTAGGTTTGAATGGCTTCATAGGTTCCTTATTTAAAACTTACTAGGGAATTATATACAAGGATGTTGTATTGGCTATTCAGGATGTGTGTAAGGGAAGGAAAATTCCAAAAGGTGTTATCGCCACTAATATAGTCCTAATGCTAAAATGTCACTAGCCCTTCAATTTTACGGACTTTAAGCCTATTAGTCTATGCAATTTCTCTTACAAAATCCTCTCTCATATTATTACCACCAGTATTAAACAATGTGCTCGCGCTTTTTATATCTAAGGAACAATCTGCTTTTGTGAAGGGAAGGGTCATACATGAAAATGTGGCTCTAGCTCAAGAACCTTTTAATGACATAGATAGAAAGGTTTTTAGAGGAAATTTGGTTCTGAAAGTAGACATTTCCAAGGCTTATGATTGAGTGAGATGTCTCTTCCACCTCAAAGTCATGAAGAAGTTTAGCTTCTTTCATGGTTAGTGTGACCTCATCTATAAATATGTTGGTAACTACTAGTATTCTCTCGATCATGACCTCTAACAAATTTTATTTCTTTAAATCTTTTCATGGAGTACGCTAAGGAGATCTCTTATCTCCTATGCTCTTCATATTGGCCCAAGATGTCCTAAGTATACACCTAAATACCTAAATGGAAAATCATTCCCTTATTTTTTATCACACTCGGGCACAATAGCATGTTTGTTTCCCATCTTCTATTTGTTGATGACTTGCTACTATTTTGCATTGAAAGTAACAAAAACCTTGATAGGATGATGCTTTTTTTGTACTTATATGCTTCTGCTAGTGGTCGGATGATTAATCATAGGGAAAGCTCCATTTTGTGTAGCGATAGAACTTTAAACTAGCGAGAAAAGGGTTGCTATCTTCTTGGATATGCTTTCTTATGGCCATAGAACCTATTACTTATCTAGGTATACCCCTCTTCAAGGGCACACCCTATATAACCTACTTTTCTCATTTGGAGTCCAAAGTGAAAGAAACGCTAGTTGGGTGGAAGGGAAACTATTGTCAATAGGTGGGAAAGTTACATTGATTTAAAGTGTGTTATCATTTATTCCCATTTATTCGATGAGAGTGTTGCCTATCCTTAAAACCACCATCAACGAATTTAGAGTTTTATCTCAATTTTTTTTTAGAATAGTGGCGGTGATAATAGGCATCATTGGTCGAGTTGGATAAAAATCTCTTATCTTGTGCGAGGAGTAGCTTGGGCATTAGAAACATGGGAAAGGTGGTGAAATCCATGAAAGGAAAACCGGCATGGGCCTACTTGAAGAATGGTTCGTTATGGAGCTCCTTTATAAGAGTAAAATATAGGGAGCCTCCTTTTTAGCTTCCTAAAGTAACAACAAGGGCTATTTAGTATGGAGATCACTACTACCACATATAACTATTCTTCCGGATAGGTCTTTATGGGTGACTCGGTGTAAGATGTATCAACTTATGGCATGATAAATAGACATTATCTAATCTTCCTTAGCATTCAACTTTTATGGATATCTCTTTAGCTCGTGCAAAACGTAACCCATTAATAAATAATTCCATGTCTTTTCCTATCTAAAGTGAACTAGACCTACTAATATTGGATGATATTATAAAAGATAGTTTATGCTATTTGGATTCTAAGTGAGAAAGCTTAAACACTAAAGATTATGGTGATTATGTCGAGTTGCTTGCTATGAAATTTGAATGGTGAAGATCCCTATGGAATAAATGAGTCCAAAAAAAGATTGGAGTTTCAATATGGAAGGTTTTGCATAATGCAATTGTTTTGGAGTGTAATGTCAAAACATGTAGTATATCTATTGCTTCCAAATGTTAGTGCTACACTTTAGCTTAATTGGAATCAAAGGAGCACCTGTTTTTACAGAGTGATATTGCAAACCACTTATGACACTTCTTTGGTGACATACTTGGATGTGCCTCTTCCTTCCTCCTCATTACGTCGCTTAATGTCCGTAGTGGCTCTTTAACGAGTAACTTCCTCTCCCAAAAATGCTTCTTCCGAATAATAGTATTTAATTGCACTATATGGGAGATTTGGCTAGTTAGGAATAAATCTTTTTTTTTTTTTTTTTTGAAGATGAGAAAATGAACGGGTGTCACATTAAATATAAAGTTTTACATTGGCTAAGTGATATCTCCATGCTTTTCTCTCACAAAAAGAAATTATCCTTTCATGACATACTTGCGTTTCTTAGTGTTAGGTATCCCATTACAACCTATCCTTTCTTCCAAAGATAGGTGGATTAAACGACAGAATCCTTTGATGGACATGTCGAAGTTAAACACGGATAGTGCATGAAAGAATAATGTCTATAGTGGGGGAGGGTGGTCCTTCGTGATGAGCATGGTAATGTTCTCATGGCTTTCTCCGACCTATTTTGTCCTAGTACAAACTCTAAATGAGAAGCCCCGATACTTCTGAAGGCATCAAGATTTGTGTCACGCATAATTTAAGGGTGGTTATTATAGAAGCGATTCTTCCTCGCTTATAGGGGGATTAATGCATTCTTATTCTTGCCTATGACAACCGACTTATATCTTTAAAGAATGCTGGGAAAAACTCCATGCTAATATGGCCTTCCAACATATTCATAGGGAAGGTAATATGCTCGTAGATAACCTTGCAAACTAGGCTTTTTAACATCCATCCAAGCATTGTTGTCTTCTCACCTCAAGTGGCTACCAACCAATTGCCAAGCTACATTATCGGATGACAAACTAGGCTTGTATAATTTTTGCCTTGATTAAGTTAGAATCAAGTGGATAGGTTCTTGGAGATTAATTTCGGTGGCTTGTCATTCGTAGCAGCTTGGTTTTCTTTTCGTCCCTTGGAAACTTTCCTCTTTTCTAGTAGGTTTCGGAGAAATTTATTGTAATTTCATTTTAGGGGTTTAGGCTTCTTTGCCCTCTCATTTCGTTGAGCTAGGCTGGATTGTCCCTCATTTGTTTCTTTCCACATTCCATTTAATAAATCCTAAGGTACCGCCCCGATTCAAAAAAAAAAAAAAAAAAGTTCCGAAAGAGAAATAAAAAATTACTATTAAATTGAAAATAATGAGATTTTTTTATTCGAGTATATGAACTCATTTATTAGGATTAAATTCACTTATATTATAGATTCTTTGGCGACTTTTTATTGATTAATTTTTAGAATTATGTAAATAATTAATTACATGTTTATATTTTTCATTGATCAAAATTAAACATTATTTATATTTTATATCTAAACTAAAAAATAAATATGAACATAATATTAAATATTCGTCATTTAAATTTTCAGAATTAATTAAGATATATAAACAAATTTTATATATTCGCCCGCAGGAGGACGCGGAGGATATGGCTAGTTTCCTATCTAAAACAAACCTCAAAGTCATCTTCTAACATTATGGGAAAAAACTCACATTATCATAACTTGGCAAATCACAGACAAGGCATCCACGTGACCATTCTCTTTGACGTGGCCAAAGTTCATCCATTGGCCTTTTTTAACTACCTCCAAAAACATTGCACATAGCATCCACCAATGTCGTAAAAATCTCTGCTACTCTCTCTACCTCTCCACGATGGACAAGATTATACTCTCAACTACTTCAACTCCTTTAGCCATCTCTTCTCTTCCTCCACTTCATGCAGTTGCTTCCTCAGCTTCTTTATCTTCTCCAAAGAAGCTTTTCTTGATAAGGTCTCAAAGTCAAAGAAAACCATCACCATCATCATTATCTTCAAGAAGGTCAACTAGTTTCTGTAAAGTTCACAAGTCTATTACAATAACATGTGGAGCTATTACTGAGATTAATGAAAGTGAGTTTCAAAATGTTGTCTTAAATTCTGACCGTCCAGTGCTTGTTGAGTTTGTTGCAAATTGGTGTGGTCCTTGTAGGTTAATCTCTCCTGCTATGGAATCGGTGGCTCAGGTATGACTTTTTATTTTTATTTTTTTAAAAAACTAGATTATTCAATCAAGACTATACATTAGCCTTCAATTACATAAGGCTTTTCTTTTTCTTAGTGTCTCAATTAATTATATTTGAGATGTGAGCAAAAAAAAAAAAAAAAAAAAAACCTCATGAATTTTCTAGTTTGGTGTGGATAGCCTCTTTGGTTAGTTTTGGTCTAAGAAAACTGGATGGAGGATCCCATGTAGCTGTAATTAAAAGGAAAAAAAGAAACTGATATCAAAATGAATCACCTTTAGAATAAGGTGGATTATGATACTGACTTTACTAGCTAAAATTAGTTAGGACATGAAGACTAGACATTTTTTTTGTTTTTTTTTGGTTCACTAGCAGTAGTGCTATGGTTCTTATTACCCAACGATTGTTGTGCCTGAGCAGAACTTGATCTTTGATCAATTCTACACCAAATTAGTACTTGAGAGGATGTGTATGTGAATTTTACTATCTATATTATCGTCACTTCGACTAAGATTAGATATTTAATTCAGATGAAGTCATCCTGTCCTGTTTCATGGCTTAGGCAATGCTTTTTATTGAGAGGGACAAGAAATTTTATTAAGAATGTAGCAATACTAATTAGTTTAATGTGTCGAAAGAAGTTATCCTTTTCTGATATGATTATGGTTTCTCCAATTTTTAGGAATATGGAGATAGATTGATGGTTGTTAAGATCGATCATGATGCGAACCCGGAATTAATTAAGGAGTATAAAGTCTATGGATTGCCTGCTTTGATTCTTTTTAAAGATGGTAAGGAAGTGGCTGAAAGCAGAAGGGAAGGTGCCATTACAAAGGTAAAACTTAAGGAATATGTTGATGCTCTATTGGAGTCCATATCAGTTGCATAGACTTGGATTTTCCTTCCTTCAAGATTTTGACATGTTTTGAAAATCATGTGATGTGAGCAAATGTCCGACTTTCATTAACATATTGTAATAAAACAGTCTGTATAGACATCCAATTGTATCATTTGAAGTGATAAATAATACAACATCATTTTCATTATGAGCTTCTTAAATTATTGAAGATTTCCTTCTGATGAATGAATAGAAAAATAAATAGCTGTGATCTATTGAACAAGTTGAATGCATGAGTTCCAGATTAGACATCTTTTTGAGCTCTTTATGTTATAATTTAAACTGTAGGTTTATTGATTTGATTGGTAAGAAAACTAGAAAAGAACCATATTAAGAAATGAGCAAATGACTGAGATCTTTGCTTTCAATGAAGAAAAAGAAATAGATTACAATCTTGTTGTACAGCATACAAAATAACAGGGAAAAAAAAAAAAAAAACTATTTACAACCACAACTCAGTCCTTTAGTGTTGCAGAAGCTCATTTCATACAGTCAACTCCTTTGAGTTTTGGCCTCAGACGATAGCATCGTCAGGAATGTACTTGCCCCAGAACCAATGTGCTTTCCAAACTCTGTTGATTTCTTCAATTGGGACATTCTTTGTCTCAGGCAAAAAGAAGTAAATGAAGATGGTCATTATAACAACAAAGGCAGCAAAGAACAAAAACAGACCAAACTTCATGTAGCAGAGCATGGTTAGGAAGAACTGGCCGATGAGGAAAGTGAAGAACATGTTTACTGAGACATTGATGGCTTGCCCTGCTGATCTAATCTCAAGAGGGCAGATTTCACTAGGCACTAGCCATCCCAATGGACCCCAAGACCAGGCAAATGCTGCAACATAAGCACAGATCAAGAACAACACAAAGTTGGCTGTTCCATTGGACAATTCTCCTACACCATTTGTTCCGTAGTTGATGCCTATCATGATTCCAACAAGTACCTGCAATCAATTCAATATATTCATCGAATCCGGCATCAAATCAGCACGAATCAAACGTGAATCTGTAAAAATTTAATTGGATGAGTTTTGGTATAGTAATAAAACTGGTTTAGGTTATGATTATTATATACCTGGCAAATAATCATCTGAACCCCTCCTTCGAGGAACAAAATTCTTCTTCCAAACTTATCAGCTGAGTAGATAGAAACAAGGGTACAGACAACATTAACTATGCCGGTAATAACTGCAGACATAAGTGAAGCATCACCACCGAAACCCAAGGTTTTAAAGAGAACAGGGGCATAAAAATTAATGACATTAATTCCTGTAATTTGCTGGAAGAACGGAATCAATATGCAAATGACAAGTTGAGGTCTATATCTTGGCTGCAAGATGTTTTTCCATGGGTGTTCCACTTTCTTTGCAGCCTCACTTGCGTCCACGAGGTCTTGGAATTCTGCTTCAACGTTGTCTGTGCCACGAACCTTTTGCAGCATTTTCTTGGCTTTCTCGGGATGGCCTCTCTCAAGGATAGAATTGGGAGTGTCTGGAAGGAAGAATGATCCAACAACCATCATTATAGCGGGGACAGCTGCAAGAGCCAAAGAAATTCTCCAGCCATATCCGGCTTTGATCTTTGCTGTTCCATAGTTAATGAGTTGCGCTGCCAGGATACCGATTGTAATGGCCATTTGAAAACCAATGTTAAGTGCTCCTCTAATTTTTGCTGGTGCCATTTCAGATAGATAAATTGGAACAGACTGTATAGAACCGAGAAAGAGAAAAATGAAAATCAATGTCAAATGTTATAACCATTTCAAACATACAAAGCCAACATTGACAGGCACTTACCTGATTAGCAAAGCCAATACCAACACCAAGCAGCAAACGACCAATGATAAGCATTGCTACATTGGTGGCAGCACCATTAAGAACGGCACCAATAAGGAAAATCAAGCCTCCAAACAGCATAGACATTTTACGGCCAAATAATCGAGTAACCGTTGAGGAAAAGAAGGAAGCTAATAAAGCAGCAAGGTAGAGGGAAGATGTGAACAATTGCAACAAATGGCTATCAAATTTGCAGTACATGCTCTCATGGTGATCTTCATTTTCTTTGTGGTACACAGAAGGGAAGAATTTTTTAAGAAATGAGTCCATAGAAGTCACACCCCCTGCAACATTGTACAAAATCATCCAATCGTTAGTACCTTAAGATATAATTCCTCAACAATATGTCACTACAACAATATATATAATTAAAAGGTCTTCTATTTATTTATTTGTTTTACCTGAGATACCAATGTCATAACCGAAAATGAGACCACCCATGGCAGCAACCATACAGGTGACGATGACGAAGGTTGTGACACCACCTTCATAGTTCCTCCCAGTACTTGGAGCAGCAAAAGCTCCTCCTGCCATCTTTTCGGTGAACTATCTTGCACTTTTAGACGTGAATCTGCAAAAAAAGCAAAAGATATATAGTTGTTAGGAGTGCTTGGTTGGTACTTTATTATTTTTTTTCCCAGGTGATAAATAAAAAAGGACCTTTCAAGGCAATTTGTCTTGTCAAATCCTTCAGAGAACCACCTGGGGAAACCGAAAAAAATAAAAAAAGGAAAAAGACTCCTTTAGACTATCTTCTACTTGGTAGCTTTTCCAAGGCTTTTAATCCAAATAAGCTTGCCCTTCTTATAGTTTTTTTCTAGCTGAGCATGCAGACGCCAAAACAGGATGCAAGCCCCATCTACTTTCTATATGTTTTGTTCTATTTTTTTTATCCACATTTTGTTTTATCTGCTGGTTTTCATGAGTTTAAATTTTTGTTGGATTTAATAAGAGGATATCATCCTTATTATCTGCTGATGGCTGGGATTGATTCAAACCAGATCCACATTATAATTGGACGTCGCCAACTCCTTGATACGTGCCTAAGTTATCGATCATCCACTAGTTGAAGTCAAATTATGGAGGTTTCATTTGCTGTAGCAATTGGAATAGGCAACGTTAATTAGCACCCTAGCTAGTAGCTACAAGTAGAATTAATTAGTATGATTATCAAGAGTATAATTGCCATATATATATATATATATATATATATATATATATATGGATAATGAAATTATTTTCTCTACATTTAATTTTTGCCATTAATTTGTTATTACAATTCTAATTTATCCAACAGACTATTATTGTTTACAAGACTCTGAAATAGATAGGAACCTACTGCTGCTTTTTATGTTTATTAACTTATTTATGAACTGTAATTGTAAATAAAATTACCAGTTTTTGAAGTGCATGTTGCAGACAAAAATGAAGAGATAAATTAGCTAAGTTGTATGCCATTCCACCATCGGTCAAATTTCGGCACCGGACTCTGTTCATGTCATGTTATGTTGTAACAAAATTTCTAATCCTATTTAGATGATTGATCCAGTCACTATCTTTAGTGATGGATGGCAAAAAGAAAAATCTCACACAAAAAATTATCAAAATTCTGCTTTAAAAAAAATTACAAAAGAGAAGTTTAATGCAATCCATACTCAAACAAGAACTAATTAATCTTAGTCCAAATTAAATATGGACCTATATTAAATATGACATCGTAAAATACTTAATGAATCCACAACAAACATGGATTCTAAATTAAATAAGGATCCAATTTCAATTAAAAAAAATAAAATAAATTGAAACTAAAATAGAAATTCACATCCAACAACGATGAAATAAAAAAATTAACACAAAAAATAATTAAAGATAATTAAGCTGAATATTAAGCCACCTAAGAACAGTCGGCCCAAATCAACCAAAGAACATAGAACCTTTGGTCTTGTCTTGATGAAACTCCAGTGTCAAGTATTTGCCTTTCTTCCATTTTTGGGCAGCAAAGACACTCCAACTTGGAGTTCTTCCCTCTCATTGTGCTTCGAGAGCAGTAGCACTTGCCTAAATACCTAAGAAGACATTTTATTTTCCTCAAAATTTCCCCCTTCATTTTATAGTTTGACTTAGTTTTATTTTCTTTATTTTTGAGCCTAGCATCCTTGGATTTTATCTACTAAGACGAAGAACAATTATTCCCTTGGACAAACATGAAAAACCTGTTCAAAGAAAAAACATTAAACCGTTTTGCAACCTATAAAGAATCCCATTTTTTAATGTTTTCTTTCAGAAATAAACAAGAAATCCAGATTTGATGGTTCTTTTCTGATTGCGGGTGCTCACAAACACTGGTACTTAAAATCAATTCAACTAAACCTGGTTTACAAACTAGCAACTATTGGCCACATGAATTGCCTCCCTCTCTTCAATTCCGTTGAAATACACATGAACTCTTCTTTAGTTATGTACAGTGCTGCAGATAGACTTAATCAAGTCCATATGAATACCAAAAATCTAAACACTCTTCATTGATGCAGGCATCATAAAACCAGATGTTTGATGGCATGAGCAATGGCAGTATTCTAGCCTCATTATGGCGACTATGAAATCGCACGCAAGACGTGTTCTTACCCCAAAACTTCGTTATACATATGGCAGTTTGTTCAAACGTTATGGATCAGTTCCAATCAAATAGCAGGCTAAAATCCTCCTTCATTTCCTATCTCTGAAAGGCTCATTGTTGGAATGCTCCCTTTTGTGAGGAGATTTTTAACGTTTGAAGAAGTCCTGGCATCTTCTGATAATTTGAGTATTGCATCTCTTACAATAAAATGGTTCTTATCATGCAGATCCGGGAATTTTCCCTTGTCAACCATCTCTTCTAATACCTCAAAAGCCAAGAGTTGGTTTGAGTCCACAAGAAAAGCACTTAATAATGCTACATAAACATATGTGTCAGGTTTCATCTCTTTCTCTTCCATCTCACGGAGAGCAACCAGAGCCTCAGTTGGTTTCCCACAATTACAAAGACCATGGATGAAGGCCATGTAAGCAACACTGGTAGGAGTACACCCTTTTCTCCCCATTTCATTCCAAAGCACAAGAGCATCATCAGGTCTTCCGGCATTGCACAATCCATCTATTAGAGTGGAGTATGTAATGACATTGGGCTCCCTTTCTTTTCCAAACATCCTGGAGAGAAAAAGCATTGCCTCTTCAAGATGATCATTTTTGCACAACCCATCTATAAGTGTGTTGTATGTAACAACTGACGGAACAAGACCCTTCCCCTCCATCTCATGCAAAAGTTTTTGAGCTTCCGCAATTCTTTGGGCCTTACAAAGCCCCTTTATCAATATGTTATAAGCAACCACATCAGGACAGTAACCGCGGGCACATATGTACTGAAATAGCTTCAAAGCTGGATCCACTTTTTGAATCTTGATCAACCCATCTAAGCATGCAGAATAAGCAACTATATCAGGTTGGAAACCTTCTTCAGCCATATCCTCAAGAAATTTCGAAGCTTCTACTGCCTTTCCATGCTTGCACAATTCTTTTACCATGGAGGTAGAATGTTTTATCCATGGCATGTGGCCATGAACACGCATCTTCTTTAGTAGATGAAGGGCTCCAGAAATATCCTCTCTCCTGCATAGGCACCCAAATATACAGTTGTTAGTGAATGAGGTTGGTTCAAACCCTGACTCCTCCATCTCTTGCAGAAGCCCAAAACTTTCTTGCAATCTATTTGAAGTGCAAAGTCCATCAATTAAATTATTATAAAGATGCAAATCTGGTTTACAACCAATTCGAGCCATATCTCGAAGCAGGCCAACAGCTAAGTCCAAATCACCAGTCTTGATCAAGCCATTAATAACAATAGAAAATGTGGTAATGTTAGGGGGATCCATCTCGTTATCCGTGAACAGCTTAACTATCTCATCATCACCAATGTAGTTGCCTCCCATAACTGTCTGAAGAAGATGGTATGCTTTATGTACAGAACCATTATCCACAAGAGAATTCAGAACAGAATTGTAAAGCAAAGTCAAAGCTTTTGGATCCATATCTTGATGCATTTCCTTTAAAAAGCAAGTTAATTCTTCTTCTTTAGAAAAAGAAGATATGAGCTTAGTAACAATTCTCACATCAGGCTGGATTTTAAATCCCTTCATTTCAGAATACAAACACAAAGCTTCCTTAACATCGTTATTCTCACACAGCCCTCCAATTAGCACATCATAAAGGGAAATATCAGGAGCAAAACCATATTTCTTCATCTTATCAAACAATTGTAGGCCCTTATCCACTCTAGACTCCTTTACGAATCCATGAATCAAAGAACAAAATGTCTTCTTATTCAATCTGACATTTCGATCTTCCATTGTTTCAATCAACTCACATGCCTTATCCACCTTACTCCACCTGCTAAAAGCCAACACCAAGATAGAAAACACATACTCGTCAACCCAACCACGATCATGAATCTCATTAAAAACATCTAAAGCTTTATCAAACTTCGCAGCATTACAATAAACCTGCAACACCGGTGTCAAAGTATACTTATCAAAATCCCACCCGCGATCACTCATTTCGATCAATCTCATCTCAACCAAATCAATATAATTAGACTTGGAAAGAACCTCTAACAGACAATTATAGCTATAACTATTCGGCATGCAAAGACCCATCTTTTGAACTTGATCAAACAACAAATTAGCTTCAACAACCAACCCTGCACTACCCAAACACCTAATCAAGAAACCCAAGGCCCCAGGCGTCATCGAGCACCGGGAAGTCACAACATTCATATATAAAGCCCTCATTGGGGCATTTTGTCGAGCACGTGATAGAATTGAAGCCATGGCATTATAGGTGTATATATTGTGCTTATATGGACCTTGATTTGAAGCCCAAGTAAAAAAAATTAGAGCTGTCTTCCAGTTCTTGAGACCATTCAAAACGGTTTCAACAATTTTATTGTTTAGTAATGGTGCAAGACTCTCCAATGCAGGGTTGTTTGGGCAAAAGGGTTGTTTGGTGAAGATGGAAATGAGGTCATTTGTGATGTTCTTGGAGTCTGGGGGAAAGGTAGAGAGGTTTTTGGTGAAAATGGAAAATGGGGTTTTGGGTTTTATTGATTTGGAGAGGTTTTGGAAGAGTTTCATGGTGAGTCTTGACGAGGCCAGGAGAGTTCAAAGTTTTTTCAAGTTCAACGTCTACTTTTAAAGGAGGCAACCTTCTGCATAAAGCTTGCTTTTAGGTATACTATATTTTACCCCTTATAGATTCACTAATATTCTAAACATTCCAATATTATCTCTAATTATTTCCGGTCCACAACTTAGCATCTAAAAATCATTAAAAATTAAAAAAAAAACAATGTAATTAATAGTTCGGGGTAATTTTGGAGCATTTCGGAAATTAGAAAGGTTATATCGAGGAATTTTAAAAACATAAAAGCGTAAGCGGGAACGTATAGAAAATGAAGTCTGTTGAAAATATGCATGCGCGACACACACAAAGGTTGATCGATGCTTTATAATGCATTTATCCTTCTTAGAGTGACACGTATTAAAATGTGCTCTGCACTCGCAAAAGTTGTTTTATTTGGAAAAAAAAAGAAAAAGAAAGAAATATATATACATATAGAGAGAGAGAGAGAGAGAATTTACATCGGAATCCAGTCATGGCTGAAGAATTTATTTTTAATATTGATAAAAAAATACAGATAAACCAAACACTTTTTTACAAGAAATTCATAAACCTATAAATTAGATTATTTTGCCACTAAAACTAGAAGATATGTAGTTTTGAAATTTTAAATTTAAAAATTAAATTTTAATATAAAATAGTTGTTTAGAAAAGGTTTTTGGGATTGGATTTGAATTCAGGAGGTTTTGGATATTACATTTTAATAAAAAGAAAAAAGAGAGACGGGAGAAAATGAATTTTTAAGGGTGGCCTGCATCCAGCAACATTTCCCGATTTTTGGCTTATTTTTCAGAATCTGGCGACCAACGGATAAGATTCAGTCGGTCTCTAAACTATCCTCAGACTTTATATATTATGAATTATGATCCTCAAACTTTTAATTGCTTCAGATAACCCCTTAATCCAAATTTTAACGTTTCCAGTATAAAATTAATTGCTGTACGTGCTTTTTATTTTTTATTTTTTTATGATATGGGTTGATTTGAAGTGATATTTATGAAATTTGAATAGTTTAAGATTAATAAGGTATTGTTTGGATCATTTTGTGTCTGTAGGGATTAAAATGCTTTTTAATTAGATTTTTGGTTGAATTTATGCTATGCATTATATATTTTTATTCTGAACTTATATCTCTATTTTCATAATTTTTTTAATATCATTTTATATTTATTTTATATTTGTTTTTATTTATAGTTTCCTTTTAAAATTAGTTTCTTTAATGATTTTAATTTTCAAATTTTTTTATTTTACGTAAGTTAGTAGTATCTGAATGTTTTTTTTTTACACTAATTTAATTTTATATTAGTATTTTAAAACTTAATCATGACTTTTATTATATATTTTTGTAAAACCATATTGTTATTCTATTATGAATGATCACATCACTTCGTTGTGAATTTTGATTTCAAACTTGTCTTAAAAGTTATGACATGGTTATTAATATTTGTGTTTTTCAAATCGACTATTAAAAATAATATCATCCTTAGACTATTTTGTATTTTAAAATGAGGTATTATTAATAATTTTAATTAAGAAAATTTTAATATTAATTTAGTTGAATGGAGTGAGATATATGGTATCTTTTATGCATTTATAGGACGTATTTATAAGACTTGTATAAAAAACTAAAATGAGGAAAATTAAAAAAAATTAAAATGCATGACAAAATATTATCCATTTTGTAGTTTTTATTTTGATTTATAGTTTTATTAGTATAAACAATAGTTCTTCTATATATATGTATGTATGCATATATATACATCTATGTATGTATATATACATGTAGATGTATGTGTGTGTATATATATATAGGAAACTAATTTCTGAAATAGGAAACTATCATCATTGAAAACTTTTTTCAATGTCTTCTCTTTAATTATATGAATGCTTAAACTTATGCATGTCACTCAATATGCTTCTAGATATATTAGCAATGTATCAAGAACAAAAGATATCTCTTTTATCTCTTGATACATAGGTCAAGATTGACTTCTAGCAAGACATCATGATCGTCCAATTATCTAGAAAGATTAATTAATCCATTATTACCTTTTATAAGATGGTTACCATATAATTTAATCCTCATGTCAACTTATCATATTGTGATCTCGAACTTGGTTATTAGTCTTCTTTGATTACAATCACACAAGTTTTCTTCAATTCCTACTCTTAGCTCTTAGACTAAATCAACAACGCTCTATTGGTGTACTCCTACCGTGGCTATAGATTTTTGAAGTAGATATTCATCGAAGTACAATATGATAACTCTTTTAGCATAAAAGGAATGACATGCCTTATCTTACTCATTTACCTACCTCCATTAGATTCTTAGTATACCCAACAAATATCCCACGTGCAATCCTTTAATAGGTCCATCAAAACGAGTTTTAAAGTATATAAATCCTCTAATAAGATAATCATAATGACCTTAAGTCTAAGGATCAATTATATCCATCTCGTATGAGATTCCTATAGACTAAATCAAATGGGTTCTTATGACGAGTCAAGTCTAGTGATATGTTCTCTAATATAAATCACCTAAGTGCTCGCCGTGACATCATCATGCTAATAAGCGTGAGATCTCCTATTGCTATCATATAATATGAGCATAACACTCACAAGTCTAACCACATGTAGTCAATGTCCATTCTTAACCATGTTACGACTTGAGATATTTGACGATATCATTTATGTGCATTAGTGTTTGTCTCATATTTTTCGATCAATCACAATGCAAATGCATATCTTATGAACTTCTAGTTAATTCTACATAATGAATAAATACAAATGATAAGAATTAATAGAATGACTTTTTTTTTATAATCAATATAAATAATATAATAATATAATAAGTCAAACCTATTCAAAAGGGTTAGATCTTGAGCACATACACTAACAATCTTTCACTTACACTAGAGCCAACCAGCCATGTCCCCTTAAACTTGACGTTTGAGTAAAGGTCTTATGTTGCAGCTATGATAAAAGGTTAGTCAATGAGTAAGCTATGTTATCGTTAATGAAGACCTCTTCTCGTCCTTATGTTGCCAAGACTACTTAATCTCTATAATCAAGTGGTAGTGATACAATACATGCTTGGATCATTGATGAGACCTCGGTTCCTCGGCTTGTGTTATGGATCCTTTATTGTTAGCCATCAAGCTATGTGACATTAGAATAAATCATTCTTTGATCCTTCCATACTAAACCTTTTAATATCATGTCATTGTATTTTTCTTAGGACACTCCTCACATTCTAAGTGATCTATCTCTATATATCTACACTTTTAGATTGTATGATGCTCTCCCATGTCATACTTGGAAAATTGCTTTTAAATATCTTAATCTTTTATAATTTTCAACACGATAATATTATAGCTCGAGGAGTATTTTATTTAACTCGTTCATGTTGAATAAGCATGACTAGTAGACTCCCACTAACCTTTTATATATATAAGGTTTATCTTTGTTTTTGATGAATAATCAAACTTTTTGATTGTTTTATTAAAACATCGACTCAAATTCCTATTGGCATGCTTAAGTCTATAAATGGACCTTTTGCATTTTGTAAATTTTATTTGTATGTTCTTAAGAACCATCGTGGTGTGTCACTTATACATCTTTTTTTGTTTGCTTTTTCTAGGAGTCAATGTCTAACATTGTCATTTCATAAATGTTAGCTTCGTCATCCTTTTTAGAACTCACATCACCATGTGTTGAGATAACAACTCACATCACCATGTGTTGAGATAACGAGATCATATCCTTTTGTTCTTTAATGAATTTCCTTTAAACTTATGAAGTTCTTGTGTTTATATTTATGGGCTAGTTATGACTCTTTATAACCTTTCTACTTAGGGTTCCATTAGTAAAGTGTCAATTTATGAGTCTACTCGAATCATATTAAGTTCAAATTTCCTCCCACTATTTTTATAATCCATAAATTTCATTCCAAGGAACATTATATGCCTAGTCACAAACAACATTTTGTTCTAGTAGTAGGATAATGACATCTTTTTGTTTGTTTTTGATATCTCACAAATTAGCACTTCTTTTATTTGGGTTTTAGTTTGTCTTCGTCAAACTTGGTGACATATATTATACAACCTCAAATCTTAAGGAAAGATAAACTCTTTTTTTTCTTTTCATATCTCATATGAGGTATATTTAAACATATTTAATTAGAACCCTATTCACTATAAAGGTTGCGAGTAAAGAGTGTTTATCCTAAAATAAAATGGGGATATTAATTCGACTCATGATGGACCCCACCATGTCTTACATGTGATGTACATAGAGAATCTCATTCTCTATTTGGTGATCTAAAATTTTAGCATTTAAGTATTCATTACCTTGATCGAATCAAAATGTCTTAATACTTTTACTAGTTTGTTACATGACTTTCAAGTCTAAACTTTTAAATCTGTCAAATGCTTTGGACTTGTGTCTTATAATAATAAAATGATCTACTATCATTAAAGGTTATATGATAAGCATGTTTTTCTCTTACTTAAGTGAACATGAGCCTATTTGCATCTCTATATGTAAGGCCTTATTAGTAGCTCTTTCCTCTTTTCCACTAAAAGGAGATTCATTTCTCTTTGCCAAGTAAACAAAATTTCTTAGACATCATTAAATGATTTTAGATATCCATTCATAAGTCGATTGGATATGAGATTCTCGTTTATATGTCTAAGTTGATATTGTTACGAATTTATGTTATTATAGATCATTTGAGTCTTTTAGTATTTATGCTATAAGTATGGGAGTTATATTCAAGACACATAATTATTATCAAGATATTTTCATAAAAATAATCTTTAAAAATAACAATTATTCTTAAAAATGAAATACTTGATCAAAATAAGAAATAAAAATAACATCTTTAGTCTCTAAAAATAATAATAATTGAGTTTTAGCACACTCTTACGTGGTAGTGCTAGCTCATAAATACCTA